CCCCCCCCCCCCCCCCCCCCCTCCCACTACCTACACCACGCGTGTTATCCCAAAATGGCTGAGGGCTTGTCAACATACCTCATGCTTCGATGTTGCCCCGTCGTCGTCCCTGAGCATGCATTCTCCCAAGCACCCACTCTGCAGCAATCCAAGGATCTCACACTGAAGACCGATCTCGCCTTGGGCGTGTTCCGCGGTAAAGGCGAATAGTTTCCACGAGGTTTTCAATGAGCAGCAAGAAATGGTTCCCAACCTCTGAAAAACTGTAACAACACCCGTTACGTCACAAGGATCACGAAACTATACTTATTTTCCCATTTGGATGTCGTGGTGATGACTTACTGATGAATTAGTGGCCGAAATTGGGTGAAAATCGCGTCTGCGGGCCCCCCGAGCAAGTTGCAAACGCCCCCGAATCGTATAAAATTTTCAGGTTAGTGTAATGTTGTGTTGTACATCAAGAATCCGTCGTCAGAATTTCGATCAGGATCGATGCGGCCGTGATACAACTACGCACTGATAAATATGCGCGAAAGCAGGAATAACCTGGAATTACTAGGAATTACAGTGAAATATCCTCCCTCCCGCAAAACTTTCTATATGTTGATTCCATCTCTCCTGATTTCGAATTAGGGTAATTTTGGGGTGGGGATCACAAATATATTGTTGGAATGTCCCAGGTTTAATTTGCAATGGACTTTCAGCTGCTCAAAAGCTGACAGTAGCTGAGCAATTTCAAAATTCCTGGGATTTTGGATTCTCGGTTACCACGTTGAGTTTTTTTCTGATCAACTTTCTGAGTGGCTCTACCCCCCCAAAATCGGCCAAGCGAAATCGATTGCCGAGGAGAAATGGAGGCGCCGAAATCGGCAACGCGGTGAAAAAAAACAATCAAGGCGATCCGATCACATGTTTTTTTGTTTCTCTTTTTTTTATGCCTTTAAACGTCGTTTTAGACATGTATCCAAAAACGGTTTTTCATTCGAGTTTTTCCTCGCCGCGGGAGAGACAACTCGTCTTTATCGCGGAACACCCCCTTGGCAAGAAGCTCCGGTGCTAGGAAGGGTTCCGACGTGTGTCTGTCGCCTCAGTCTCTGCACCGCCTGGCTCCTTCACGGCCAACCGAAGTATGTGCCACCGACGGAATGCTGACAAGCCGACAAATCGACGACAATGCATCAATCACAAGAGCGGTGGCAAGTGTGTGTGGTTCGACAAGACGACGCGTGCCCCGAGCACAACCTGTGACCGAAGAGGTGGCGGCACGCTAGGCACGGCGCGCGCGTGTGCCTGTGAGTGCTGCGCCTAGTAGCTCCGACAATGTAGACCCAACTGCTGAAGGGGCCGAAGACAATACTGCGTGTGGCAACACTTAAGAGGTACATCTGCAAAGGTGTATTGCTTGACGGGAGGGGTGGAGACAGGGGAACACATGAAGGACAGTGCCACAATATCCTGGTCGATCACAATGCGGAGGCGGCGTACCTTGTTTCCCATGCCAAAGCAGTTGAAGGCGTCGTTGTAGCAAGCGACAGGGGCCGAAATAAAAACGATGTTGTAGTTGTTGAGATGGAAGCCTTCCCTCCTCAAGACGAACAGTGGGCCTTCAGAGGTTCCTTCCTTGCACCAAGGCGCGTGGGTCAACTCGTACTTCTGCGTCGAGTCCTCCTCGGAACGGCGCCGTTTTGCCCGAGCTTGGACCACGAACCCTTTCCCCAAAAACCGATCCCATAAAGTGCACCAAACACCTTGGTCCCACTCACCATCGTGCTTGTCAGCTTCAATCTCGTCGGCCGTGTAGATCTCCGCCAGGCCCAGGACGCCGGCAACATTGACTGCGTTTCCCCTCCAGCTGTACAGTCTTCCCAGACTCGCACAAGTCTTCCTCGCATCTCCGCCTGCCCCACATTTCGCACCTCCGCTACTGGCCAAAACCCTCTAACAGTTGCAACTACTCCGCCGCTTGCAGTCTCCCAGAAGAGCTCGAGGAGACGACAGGCAGAAGGCGTGCAAGCGATTTCGCAAATGCATATGTCGTGTACGTACACTTTTCTCCCACAAGCGCTGCTCTGTATGCCATCAATCCCCATGAATGGGGACGTACTCGACAGCATACCGTTCATGTTGGACTCCCTCACGTTCGACCAGCTTGGTCGGGATACAATTGACATGGTCGCTCGTCAACGAGTTGGCGGCGGCTTCCTCTTCGAGAAAATTTTCCCCCGCCGCGTAGGTTTCTGAAAGTGCCGTCTCCGAGACCAGCTTCATGTCGCGCGCGAGAAGCAGGTTCACAGGTATGTCATACACCACCGCAGAGCTCTTCCCTTCTTGTGTTGACGGGACATTTCGCTCGAGAACCCGTAGGAGGGAAGGTATTGCCGCGTGCGGTTGTTGAAGTGCGCAGCGTTAACACGTTTCAGTCCCCTCACGTCGAAACCGTTGCCCTCGTCCTCGAGAAGGAGAATGTCCAGCAGCCCGCCTAAGGCTTTTTGCGAAATCTGGTGCGTGTGCTGCCATATCCATATCAGCTGCTGTTCCTTCGTGCGGAATGGATAGAAATCAGATTCTTCCGCATTCGTGTTGTGCCTAAGGTTTTCAGGGCCGCCCTCCATCGTCGAGCTCGCAGCATAAGACGAGGCATGGGTGTGAAGGTTTTCCAGCCTACGCATTGCTTCAGCGCTGCTACGACTGTCTGACCCAATTGGCGGCTCGATATGCTGTCGACGCTGTTCGGTGTTCGATTCTACACCACCGTATTGTTCCTCTCCGCCGTCATTCACGTCGTCACTCGACACAGGCCCCCCACCCCCCATGCCTTCGCCGCCATAGATGTTTGGATCGACGTCCGGAAAGCTTTGGTCCACGCTTAGTTGTGCATCCACTCGATCCATAAGGTCTGCTAGACTACCGGGGGCGATGCCAGAATCTCGCCCATTGGACGCCTGAGACGGCTCGCCGTCGTCAACCGCACTTGGCCCTTCATAGACATCTCCCAACCCCGTCTCCATCTTTTGCAGGTCGTCGTATTCTTTATCTCTCTCGTGTCCTAAAGAGTAGTTTGAGGAAAGACAACAGTATGCGCATTTGAGAACAGAGTATGTCGCCGGGGAAAACTCTTCGTGAGCGTGTCCTCGCGATCTGTCTGGATGATCGATGATATATGCAAATAGCCATGCAGGATTCTCATGCGGCGTAACGTTTGAGTAGAATGGCTGCGGGACTGCCGACGTGCAGCGACGTATACGTGGCCCCGAGCAAAAAGGAAATGCGTTCTTGACGGTGCCGTTCAGCGCACATCAGCGAATTCTGCAGAATACGCGTGCGGTTCCTGATGCAAACTGCAGCCAAGGTTCCGATCGACAATTGGGCCATCAAATCACTCTGGGTGCAGGATCGCTTTGACTTGTTGACGCCTACCTTACGGGGTCAACGCACGTCGACGCTTGTTCCCAACAGGGCGAGTTCTGCACCGCCTGTGGGACCAAAATGTATGTATGTGCTTATACACCAAGTTTCGTTAGTCGTTCGTACATTCCCTGTGCAACAAGCACATGCTTTTGTACGGTACCTAGAATAATTTTTGCATAGACATGTCCGCGCTTGTAAAACCAAGTTGTCAGCACACACACATGTACAATCAATTTATCTTAGCTCCTACTATCATTCGCACAGCGGTGTATTCATACCTTGAGCATCGACCGGTGGTGTAGCACCCTCGGGAGACACTGTGGAAGACGCAGCGTGGGTATCTCCATGTGCACCACCATCGTCGAGCGCCGGTGTGACGCTGACGTTGCCGGATCTGCGCGTGGAAANTCCGCGCTTGTAAAACCAAGTTGTCAGCACACACACATGTACAATCAATTTATCTTAGCTCCTACTATCATTCGCACAGCGGTGTATTCATACCTTGAGCATCGACCGGTGGTGTAGCACCCTCGGGAGACACTGTGGAAGACGCAGCGTGGGTATCTCCATG